TTTTTTTTTTTCTTTTCTTTTTCTCTTTTTCTTTTTTTTTTATTTTTCTTTTTTTTTTTTCTTTATCTTTTTTCTGCTTTTTCCTTTTTTCTCTTTTTTCCTTTTCTTTTCTCTTTTCTTTTTCTTTTCTTTTTTCTTTTCTTTTCTTATCTTTTTTTCTTTTTTTCTTTTTATCTTTTTCTCTTTTCCTTTCCCTATCTTTTTTTCTCTTTTTTTTTTCTTTCTTTTCTTCTTTTTTTCTTTTTTTTTTTTTCTTCTCTTTTTTTTTCTTTTTTTTTTCTTTCTTTTCTTTTTCTCTTTCTTCTTTTCTCATCTTTTTTCTTTTTTTCTTTTCTTTTTTCTGCTTTTTTTCTTTTCTTCTTTTTTTTTCTTTTTTTTCTTTTTCTCATCTTTTTTCTTTTTTTTCTTATCTTTTTCTGCTTTTTTCTTTTCTTATCTTTTTCTGCTTTTTTTCTCTTTTTCTTTTTTTCTTTTTCTTTTCTTATCTTTTTTTTTTTTTTTTCTTTTCTTATCTTTTATTTCTTTTTTTTCTATCTTTTTCCTTTCCCTTCTTTTTTCTTTTTTTCTTTTTTTTTCTTTTTTTTCTTTTTTTTTTCTTTTTTCTTTCTTTTTTTCTTTTTTTCTTTTTTCTTTCTTTTTTTTTCTTTCTTTCTTTTTTTTTTTCTTTTTTTTCCTTTTTATTATTTTTCTTTTTTTTCTTTTCTTTTTTTTTTTTCTTTTTTTTTCTTTCTTTTTGGGCTTTTTTTATCTTTCTTTCTCATTTTTTCTTTTTCTTTCTTTTCTTTCTTTTTTTCGTTTTTTTTCTTTTTTTTTTCTTTTCTTATCTTTTTTAACTTTCTTATCTTTTTTATCTTTTTTTTTTTCTTTTCTTTTCTTTTTTATTTTTCCTCTTTCTTTCTTTTTTTTTTCTTTCTTATCTTTCTTTCTTTTTTTTTCTTATCTTTTCTTTCTTTTTTCTTTTCTTTCTTTTTCTTTCTTTTTTTTTCTTTTTTTTTCTTTTTTCTATTTTTTTTGAATTTCCTTTTTTTTCTTTTTTCTTATCTTTTCTTTTTTTTTTTTTTTTTCTTTTTTTATCTTTTTCATCTTTTTCTCTTTTTTCTGCTTTTTTCTTTCTTTTTTTTCTGCTTTTTCTTTTCTTATTTTTTTTTCTTTTTTTTTTCTTATCTTTTTCTGCTTTTTTTTTTTCTTATCTTTTTCTTTTTTATCTTTTCTTATCTTTTTTCTTTCTTTTCTTTTTTCTTATCTTTTTTAACTTTTTTCTTTTTTTATCTTTTTTCCCCTTTTTTCTTATCTTTTTTTTTTTCTTTCTTTTCATTTTTCTTTTTTTATCTTTTCTTTTTTTTTTTTTTTCTTTTTTTTTTTTTGTTTCCCCTTTCTTTTTTCTTATCTTTTTTTTCTTTTTTCTTTCTTTTTTCTTTTCTTCTTTTTTCTTTTTTCTTATCTTTTTTTTTTCTTTTTTTTTCCTTTCTTTTCTTTTCTTTTTCTTTTTTTCTTTCTTTATCTTTTTTTGCTTTCTTTTCTCTTTTCTTATCTTTTTTTTCTTTTTTCTTTTCTTTCTTTTTTTTTCTGCCCTTTTTTTTCTTATCTTTTTCTTTTTTTTTTCTTTTCTTTTTTTTCTTTTTTTTTTTCTTTCTTTTCTCTCTTTTTTCTTTCTTATCTTTTTTTTTTTTTTTTATCTTTTTCTAAGACTTTTTTTTTCTTTTTTCTCTTTTTTTTTTTTCCTTTTTCTTTCTTTTTTTTTTCTTCTCTTTTCTTTTTTTTTTCTTTCCCTTCTTTTCTTTTTTGGGCTTTTTTTCTTTTTTTTTTCTTTCTCTTTTCTTATTTTTTTTCTTTCCCTTCTTTTCCTTTCTTTTTTTCTTTCTTTCTTTCTTTTCTTTTTCCCTTCTTTTTTCTTTTTCCTTTTTCCTTTTTCTCTTTTTCCTTTTTTTCTTTTTTCTTTTTTTTTCTCTTTTTTTCTTTTCTTATCTTTTTTCTTTTTATCTTTTTTATTTTTTAAGACATTTTTCTCTTCTTTCTTTCTTTTTTTCTTCCCTTTCTTTTTTTATCTTTTTCTGCTTTTTTCTTTCTCTCTTTTCTTTTTCTCTTTTTTCATTTCTTTTTTTTTTTTCTTTCTTTTTTCTCTTTTTTTTTTTTTTCCCTTTCTTTTTCTTCTTTCTCTTTTTCTTTCTTTCTCTTTTTTTCTTTTTTTCTTTTTTTCTTTTTTCTTCTTTTTTCTTTTTTTTTTTTTTTTTTTTTCTTTTCTTTATTTTTCTTTCTTTTCTTTTTCCTTTCTTTCTTTTCTTTTCTTTTCTTTTTTTCTTTTTCCTTTCTTTTCTTTTTCTTCTTATTTAGGCTTCTCTTTTTTCTTATTTTTTTTCTTTTTTTTTTTTTTTCATCTTTCTTATTTTTTTCTTTTTTTTTTCTTTCTTTTTTCTTCTCTTTTTTTTCTTCTTCTTTTTTTTATCTTTTTTTTCTCTTTTCCCTTTTTCTTTCTTTTTCTTTTTCTTCTTTTCTTTTTTTTCTTTCTTTTCTTTTTCTTTTTCTCTTTTCTTATCTTTTTATTTTTTTTTTTTTCTTTTCTTTTTTTCTTTCTTAACTTTTCTTCTCTTTTTTTTCTTCTTTTTCTTTTTTTTTCTTTTCTCTCTTTCTTTTTTTCTTTTTTCTTTTTTTTTTTCTTTTTTTTTTTTTCTTTTTCTTCTTTCTTTTCTTTTTTTTTTTTTTTTTTTTTCTTTTTTTTTTCATTTCTTTTCTTTTCTTTCTTTTTCTTCTTTTCTTTTTCTTTTCTTTTCTTCTCTTTCTTTTTTTTCTTTTCTTTTTGACTTTTTCTTCTTTTTTTTTCTTTCTTTCTCTCTTTTTCTTTCTCTCTTTCTTATCTTTTTCTTTTTCATTTTCTTTTTCTCTCTTTCTTTTCTTTTATCTTTCTTCTTTCTTTTTCTTCTTTTTTTTTCTTATCTTTCTCATAAGACATTTCTTCTCTCTCTTTCTTATCTTTCTCATAAGACATTTCTTCTCTCTCTTTCTTATCTTTCTCATAAGACATTTCTTCTCTCTCTTTCCTATCTTTCTTATTGACATTTCTTCTCTCTCTTTCTTTTTTTCATTTCTTATGACATTTCTTCTCTCTCTTTCTTATCTTTCTCATAAGACATTTCTTCTCTCTCTTTCTTATCTTTCTCATAAGACATTTCTTCTCTCTCTTTCTTATCTTTCTTATTGACATTTCTTCTCTCTCTTTCTTATCTTTCTCATAAGACATTTCTTCTCTCTCTTTCTTATCTTTCTTATTGACATTTCTTCTCTCTCTTTCTTATCTTTCTCATAAGACATTTCTTCTCTCTCTTTCTTATCTTTCTCATAAGACATTTCTTCTCTCTCTTTCTTATCTTTCTCATAAGACATTTCTTCTCTCTCTTTCTTATCTTTCTCATGAGACATTTCTTCTCTCTCTTTCTTATCTTTCTCATTGCCTTTCTTTTCTTTCTTTTTTTATCTTTCTCACTGTCGTTTCTTCTCCCCCTTTTTTAATCTTTGACATTCTCTCTCTCTCTCTCTCTCGCTATTTTTCTAAACCATATTCTTTATCTTGTCTTTTGTTTTTCATCATTTCTTCCTCCGCAACCATTTCTTCTTTTCTTCACCTTTTCTTCATTTTCTAATCATTTTCTTCTCTTCATTCTTATTCATTTATTTATGTAATCTTCGTCTTCCCTCTTTTTAATTTTATTTCTCTTCCTTTTACGCTTTTTTAGCATCTTCTCTTTCTACAGATTTTTTCTGCCTATTCTCTCATTTTTACAATTTTTATTCTCCCTTACTTCTCTCTTTCTTCTCTCTTTCTTCTCTCTTTCTGCTCCTTTTCTGTATCTCCTCCCATTCTTTTTTTCACTTTTTCCTTCATCTATCTCTCTCTCTCCCTCCTTCCTCTCCTCTTCTTCCTTTTATCCGTATATTTGCATATTGATTAATCTCAGTTATTTGCAAGTTGTCAGGCGATTCTATTAAGAATTCCCCGCCTCTTCTTATCCTAATCTAGTTTCAACTGGTTGGCTTTTGTGGGTTTCTGGCTGCTCATATTATACTCGGCGAGGCAAAGTCTTCGCATTCACAGGACGCTAATGGCGTCACGGCTTTGCTCATCTGCTTAACGTCTCCAGAAAATGACACGAAAACTATTTAAAACCCAACTGCGCCTGGCAGTTTCTCCCGCCGTTCAATTAAATAATTCCGTTTTGTTTTTGTTTTTTTACGAGGGAGAAAGTCGGGGGAAAAAAAAAACAACGGCGAATACGTTAAGGTTACTTTTACTATAAATTTGTTGGCTGACCTAAATACATGCACATATAAACAAATAAATATAAATGCCACATTATAAGAATGAATATTAATATGGACTAAATAACTCTCTCTCTCCCTCTTCCTCTCTCTCTCTCTCTCTATATATATATATATTATATATATATATATATATATATATATATATATATATATACGTTATGTTGTTGAACATGCGTGAAAAAGTATGTCCACTCCTCAGTAGAATAAAGATTGATTAAATGTTAGTGCAAAAAATTAAATCTAAATAAAATTTAATTTACATTTGGTCAATATTATTATGATAAATGAATTTGAAATTACAAATTTAGGAATGTGAGCATTGATATAGATAGATATAGATATATATAGATAGAATGGATAGATAGATAAAAATAGATAGATCGCTCTTAGGATATAGATAGAATAGATAGATAGATAGATAGATAGATATAGAAAGATAGATAGATAGATGAATATAATGAGATAGATAGATATAGAGATGAATAATAACGATAGATAGATAGATAGATAGATAGATGGAATAGATAGATAGATATGAATAGATAGATAGATAGATATGATAGATATTTTAAATAATAGATAGATGATATTAGATAGGGATAGATTTATGAATGAATTATAGATAGATAGATGGATCTGATAGATAGATAGATGAGATAGATATATAGATAGATAGGAGATAGATTTTAAGATATAGATGATGAATAGATGGATGAATAGATAGATAGATAGATAGATGAATGAATAGATAGATAGATATAGATAGATTCATAGATAGATAATGATAGATGGATATTTATGGATAGATGATAGATGAATAAAATATATGATATATATGAATGGATAGATGGAATGAGATAGATAGATAGATAGATTTTTAATAGATGAATATAGATAGATGAATAGATAGATAGATAGATTTTAAGATAGATGATGATATATAGATATGGATAGATGAGATAGATAGATTTTAGATAGATAGATGATAGATAGATATGGATAGATAGATAGATAGATAGATAGATGAATGAATGGATGAATAGATGATAGATAGATAGATGAATGAATGAAACTAATTTGATATATATAAAGATGAATAGAAGATTTAATAGATAGATGAATGAATGAATAGATATGAATAGATAGATGAATGAATAGATGAATAGATATGAATAGATAGGGATGGGTGGGAATTTAAACTAGATGGATAGATGAATGGATAGATAGATGGGATGGATAGATGGATAGATTAATAGATAGATATAGAGATGATAAATGGATATATAGATAAATAGATAGATAGATAGATGATAGATAGATGGATAGATAGATATAAGTGAATATTTTTTATGAGATATATGAGATAGATGTGATGGGGGATTTTAATAGATGATATATATATATATGGATGCATGTGTATATAGATGAATAAAGACAGATGATAGATGATGATAGATGATAGATAGATAGATAGATAGATGGATAGATATGTTTTTATTGTATATTTTATGTTTCATATATTCTCTTATGCATAGTCTGTTCGAATATTCCTGTGTCATTTTATCATATATATATTTACCGCGTCTAAAAGCAAAATTGTCCAAATCGTGTAGCGGCATAACTGCCAATCCTACAAAATGTTTACTATCTAAAGACATTAAACTAATTGAGTTTCTTTCTTCCACGTTTTTTGACACCATTTTTCGTAAAAATCACAGAAAATCCTTTGAGTTATTAAGTCGTTTTTTTCTCATTCCCACTGCCTTCTCGACTGAGCAAGGGTGAGAGGAAAAATATCATTCAGTCCTTCACTGGCTCCCATCTTCAACGACTATTCACGAACCATCAAGAGAACGGTGAATAAGTTTTTAAAAAAAGAGAGAAAAGTTAAAAGTAAAAATGGATCAGGAAGTCACAACAGCAGGAGGGGTAGGATTATTATTTCAATCTAGATCTGATGAGATCAATTAGAAAAGATCCAAATCAAGCCATTTGTCGTTTGGCACGTGAGAGAGGAGTTTCAGCTATGACAGTCCAAAGAGCTATGAATAAAGACTTGAAAATAAAATCGTACGTGAAACCTTTGAGGCAGCTTGTAACTCCAGGACAAAATATTAGAAGTTTAAATAGGGCGAAGGTTTTGAATAAATTAGATCCTAGAATAATATATATATATATATATATATATATATATATATATATATATTTATTTCACTAGTTCATGAGCTTCCGATACTGTCCAAAGTAGAGTCCAATAGTGTTATTATTTCCCAACCTGGGCAATATTACCCACCGGTGTTCGATTTAAACTGTTGGATGCATGATGACCAGCTGAACAGAAAATGGTTGGCAAATGAAAATTCGTGTATTAAAATATATTTCAACATATACTACCCGAAAAAATATGAAAAGCAATTATGCAAAGAACCTGCATAAAAAAAAACAGGAGGTTAAATTGGAATAACTGGAACACATCGGTAGATAAGGTAAAAAAATATCTCCTCAAACAACGAACAGTTTGGTATTTTCTATAGTTTTGAAAAAACACATTAACATTCAGTAGTTCTTCAGACGAAACAACATCTTTTTTTTCGAATATAAATCAGATAAGGGAAGACTAAGAACAACAAAGATATATTCCCTGACATTTTTTGTTAGTTGGTAATAATGTATATTCGTTTTAATTTTATAAATATGATCAAAAATCGTTTGTTTTGTTAATATCTGCAATGCTAAACCTAACCTTACCATAAAACTAAATTATATATATAGTTTTCAATAGTCATGGTGATTTTCCAAGTGTTGCTTAGATGTGTGGACCAAGGTCTAAAGTAGTGAGCACCCAGTGAGGACCGAACTCCCGATTCAGTCGTAATTGTTCTAGCGAGACAAACCTACTAACCCTTACACCGCCTCGAAGTGCCTAGTTTTCAACAGACATGTTTGGTTTCGTTAGTTCTTTAATAGGGTAGTAGCAGCAACTACCGCCTTATAAGTCAGCGTAATGTTATCTTCCTTTGGTATTATGTACTAAATCAGAAGGCCAGTATACGAACTAGTAACAAACTTTTACCAAACAATTTTGGTGTGCTTTTGAATACTTACTATACATGTGGATAATGGAAAAATTTTCCATGTGAATGTGGGCCATGATGGAAAATAGGTTAGGAATTGGACGAGGAATTATTCAGATTAAATTCATAGGCTTTAATTTTCGCTGTCACAAATTTTATGCCAATGGGCTATTTGCCTTTCCAATGGCATATGCAATAATTCTCCTCCAAAATAATTTCCAGTCAACGCAATAAAATAAAATCTATTAAATATATCCTTGCAAAACTTTATCAAGCATTTCGATCGAAACGGAATAAAGATGCTGCTTAAGTTAGCTCTATCGCAGCATCAGGCAAACAGAGTTGTCCTTCTCCTAGACTAATTACCAACCACAACTATAAAACCAAGTTTACCCTACTATTTAACCCATATCTGAGAGAGGGAAAAATTCATGCTTTACCCAGGTGTATTTGTATGTAAGTAAATGTAATGAACATATGAGTTGTAAAGAACATATAATCGTATGGTCAATATCAAAATGAATATATATATATATATATATATATATATATATATATATATATATATATATATATGAACTCCCCTTCGAGGAACAATAATTTCAGTTCAGAGGAAGCGATAGCTCAGACACCAGCACATATGATTTGATTATAGTGGTGAAGGCTTTGTGCAGAACCAACCAAACTTTTTGAAGATCCATATACGAAGAGCTGGTTCACTATGTGCCACAAGGTCTCTGAACGTCCCTCTGCAGGTTTTGAATTCAGAGTTGTCCTTCTCCTAAACAAGCTGCCATCCAAGGCTATAGAACCCAGTCTGTCCTGCTATTTATCCATAGCCGGAGAGAGAAGAAGAGGATTAATACCTTTACAAGGATATTAGCACGTAAGTGAATTTGATGGATTCGACTGGAATTCGAACTCGGCTCTCCGATTCCTCAATCTGATATATATATATATATATATATATATATATATATAACCCATATATATAGTTAAACCCATACAAAAAACCTACCAATTTTTCACCTAAGCGGATCGTCAGGAAGGCTGTCGATCCCTGCTTAATTTAAACTTTGTTAGATTTGTCTGGCTCTCTAGGTTTAACTAGGTCTGCTCTACTCATTGTATTGAGCACTTTATATAGTTATTTTGCTTACTCCTATCGGTTTTTTTTTCTTTGGGCTTTGGACTTGGATGCGAGACGATTATTTTCGGCTGACGTACATGTTCTTGGTTCTTTCTTTTTTTTATACCTTTTTTTTTCCCCTTTGGTATTGGTTTGATTATTCGCAAACCAAGACAACGAAAATTTTCCGAACGAGTATAATTTCTTATACTTATATTATTATTATGACTACTAATATATATATATATATATATATATATATATATATATATAAAGGGCAGGATGTGTGTGTGTGTGTGTGTGAATGCACGGCCGCAATTTTCGACACGGATTTGCACCAACATTTACATGCACATGCTCCAAGTTAGCGAGAAGGTCAAGACCAAACTCCCATCGATAGTGGAAATAATCGATTTTTTCATGCTTCTACGACAGTTTTCGTGTAGTTTGCAGCCATTTTCTACTGGACAGATTGAGAGCCAACAGCTGACTGACACGAATGTTAACTAGCATGCTAGCATGCAAAAAAATCGATAGGTGCATTCGTCACAAGTGGGAAAAATTTGAATCTGCATGGCACTTTACTCCAAGTGGCTCATTCGCTTGCTTAAACTCAACGTTGATTCTGATTCCGCAGAATTGGGTTGAGTGTGAAAAAGTATTTGTTGTTAACATTATTTTTTCATTCGGTTTTTCCAGTTACGAGTCCTTTTTTTTAAAGCTGATCCTTTTGTCTTCATTTTGTTTCGTTCTTTTTTCGTAACAGATTTAATGTTTAGTATAGAGCTTCGAAAAAAAATCGCAGTGTGTGATAGGCAATAAATAAGGCATTGTGTAACATCAGCACGGCAAAGGTCACTCCTTTAAAGGCAAGGAAGGGCAAAAATATTTTAAGTCAAGTGATAGCGATTGCTGTATGCTACAATTTTTAATCAAGCACGGGCAACGCTGCTGGTATATATATAGTATATATATATATATATATATATATATATATATATATATATATATATATATATATATATATATATATATATATATATATATATATATATATATATATATATATATATATATATATATATTCCTAATTCAGATAACTGGCATAGTGATCGACGATCTGACACTGCGGTATGTAGTCCTGGGTCGCACGGTAGCAGAGACACTCGTAGAATGAAATTTTAGTAACTTTTAATAAAAATCATATAATGGTAAGGTCCATATCAAAATGAATTAAAACCAATAGTGAAAGCTCATCTAATGTACATATGCTTAATTAAAAGGAAACGGAGAAGATTATTCAATAAAAATGTCCTCGCTCTCGATGTCGACCCTGGATGTAACTGGAAGCACAACAGTCAATTCTACTAAATCTCAGAACTTACAGGATGACATCCATCAATGATACTGTGTCTGGTCTAGTTTTCGACAATGTTACAGATGGCATGGCCCATCGTATTCAAGTCAGGAAAACTTGAATGGTTACGCTTATTAACTGAATGGCATATCAATACGCTATGGGGTATTTAACTCTTATAGGACAAGGCTTAGGACTACATCACGTTGAAATAGCGGTTCCCGTACGATCACCGTAACGCCGATCTTGATGGGTGACCGCTTGGGATTGACAAGTGCTGTATGCTTGGATGTGACGGTGGTGTAATGAATGTTGGCTTGGAATTGTTAATCGGAAAGACGAAGGACGAAACGCAGCACAAGAAAAATGTTTCTACTTTTTCTACATTTCCACCAATATTATTTTTCATATATATATATATATATATATATATATATATATATATATATATATATGCGTATACCGGGTACCGTAACAACAAAAGTTGTCCAAATCGTGTGACAACAACATTTTCCAATTCTTAGATTAAGCATTGACGGTTGTATTTTAAAAATGATAAAATCTATCTTACTGGAATAATCCGAAGTTTTTATAATACTATTGGAATCTACTTTGAACAATAAAGAATGTATTTCGCTATATGTCTTACTGGTTGAGTTGGATCTTTTATAATCGATCTCGTTTGGTCTAAGTTGAAGTGATAATCTCTCTTCCATTTGTGACCTCCTAATCCAGGCTTTCTCTCAACTGTTCCCGCTTTTTTCATCTTATTAAATGTCCTATTGATGATTCTTGAATGGACTTTGAAAGATGGAAGCCAGATTATGAATGGTGGTACTATTACTGAACACGTGAGTGATCCTTTTCCTCTCACCATTGCTCGGCCGGAAAGACATAGTGAGGCTGACACAAAACGATTTTAACCTGTTCTATTTCTAACTGAATAACACAAAGGAT